CCAGGTGTGTCAAGTTGACACTAAAGCTATCCAGCACACCTTCCTAGTAAGGTTTCTTCCCTGGAGACACTGTTTTATTGCCCCCCGCCCCTTATGACTCTCCTGGGACTTCTGAGAGTTGAGGTCTTCAGAGAAGGAATAATTTGTATGTCTAAAGCTCCAGTTGGAGCTTGAAATGCCTGTGATTTGAGTTTACTTAAATTGTAAGTTAAGATTTATTTTCATTATTTTTAATTATGTGTTTGTGTGTGTGAGCATGTTAATGTGGATGCAGGTGCTATAAACGGAGCTGTCAGATCCCCTAGATTTGTGAGCTGCTTGATGTGGCTGCTGGTAACCCCACTTGTCCTCTGCAAGACTAGTACATGCTCTTAACTACTGAGTCATTTCTCCAGCCCCAATATGAATTCTTTAAAAAAAAATTTTTTTAATTGAATTCTTGTGATTTTTTTTTTGTGCAGTATAATTTGATGGTGTTTAGATCTCTCACCATCTGCACTGCCCCTTACTGCCCCCCCTTCACTCAGTTTAATGTACTCATAATATATAATGCAGCCTATAGAGTCTGATTTGTGTCCCCAAATGTCCTTTAGTGTGGGTCTATCCACTGGAACCTAGTTAACCTACCAACAGTCCCATACTCAAAAGAAACCGTTCCCACTTCTCAGCGGTCATCAGTTGCCGAAAGTTCCTTAGGTTGGGTTGGGGTTTCTTACCCACTTCCTCACGTCTGCTGGGATTTGTCTGGTTTGAGCTTACATGGGACTTGTGCATGCTGTCACCATTGCTCTGAGTTCATACGACAGCAGTCTGGAAAACTATTCTTTGTGGTCATCCACCACCTCTGGCTCTTATAGTCTTCCCAACCCCTGTTCTGCAATGACCCCTGAGCCTTGGGAGGTGGGAGTTTGATATATGTGTCCTATTTAGGACTAAGTACTGTGGCCTCTCGTTCTCTGCACATTGGCCAGTTGTAGGTTTCTATATTATCACCATCTTCTGCATATGGAAACCTCTGGTGAGAGTTCAGAGATGCATTAATCTTGTCAAGACTGGAGAAGTGTGCAGGAATTTGAATTCTTAAAATCACGGTTTGCGTTTGATGAAGGCCTGACTCCATGCCAGAGACCAACTTTAATGAGGCAGGCAAGCAACAGGCTCCAGATTGTGGTTATCTTTTTAATCTTATCCCTACACAGGCAGATTGATTGTAAGGTACCAGGAGCAAAAGCAATGTGCTGGGTGATGGTTCTCTGGTGGTTTTTTTTTCTTTTTTTTTTTCTCTTTTTGGGACAGGATCTCCCTGTAGCCCCAGCTTTCCTGGAACTTACTATGTAGACCAGGCTGGCCTTGAACTCACAGAGATCCGCCTGCCTCTGCCTCCTGAGTGCTGGGATTAGAGATGTGCACCACCATGCCTGGTGGGTTTGTTATTTTAAAGGCTGAGTTGAGACAGGATCTTACACTATATAGCCCAGGTTGGTCTGGAATTATAGTCCAGGTTAGCTTCAGTCTCCAAGTGCTGGGAATACAGGCATAAGGCACCATGTTCTGGTGCGCTCTGTGTGTGTGTATGTGTGTGTTTGACTTTTTGGAGATAGGGTCTTGCTTTCTAGCCTAGGCTGGCCTTGAACTCATGATCCCCCTAAGTCCACTGAGAGTGCTAGATTCCTAGGTATGCGCCACCACACTTGGCCATTCTGGGGCTCCTTAGTGGCCTGTCATCACTGAGACCCACTCCCTTGAGTTATCATTGACCTTAGTCTTGAACTTGGAATCTGAAGTCCTGGCAGTTTGCTGTTTGTTTCCTATAGGCATCCTGCTCAGGTTCTGACACCTTGGGTGGGATTGTTATCATTTCTTCCTCATACAGAGCCAGGCAGACTCATTCCACTAAGGTTCTGATATTCAATTCCTTGAAATATGGTTGCTGTGCTGTATGAGGATATCCACACAAAGGCTGATTCAGTTCAGTGCTTCAAGAAAGAAAAAGGCGATAAAGACAAAATTGCTTGATTTGGGGTGAGGAGGAGTGCTGGGGATTGAACACGGCCTGCTCTACCATTAGCTACATCTGCAGTCTAATGGGTTTTTGGTTTGGGTATGCTCAATTAATTGAATTCCAGAAACCCTTTGGAAGTTGGTGTCCTGCCTTCACACTCCCAGATACTCTCTTAAACACCACTAATCACCTCTCGGGGTGAAAGGCCATCTTCAGAGCATTGCTCCAGTCAGCTGTGCAGACACATCCATGCACCGATGAGCTGGCCTCACTCCAGGCCTCTGCACAAAGGGACCTTGGTGGAGAAACAATGGCTCATCACACAATCATTTGGGAAAGGTCTCAGGCTAGAGGCCAGCATCACATCCTACAGTCAGTCACTTGGATTCTCTGCCCTCAGTCGAGGGTCTCTTGTTATTGAGAAACTACAAACCCCAGAAACAGTAGGGAAGGAAGTTCCAAGGAACATCAGGGATACACCCATACTGGTCCTTGAAGTTGACCATTTGGGAGGTGAAAGACTCAAGCTGAGCCTAGGGCCAAACAAGGCAAGGAAGAGAAAATGGGGGCAAGGTGGATGCCAGTGCATAAAGAACCTGTAAGGGTATGAAGTGCAGGGCAGCTCAGAAAAGTGCATAGGGAATTTCCCACCTCTGTATTCAGTTTCGTATTGAGGAGATGGGGATTTTCTTAGGCACAAGGCTGCATTTTGCTATTCTACCTGTCACTGAGGAATGTAGATCAAACCCTGCCAAGGAATGAATGCTGCAGGGAGGAGGGTACAGTACCTAAAGTACAACCAAGAATGGAGGCAGCAGAGGGGAACTGAGGTGAGCAGAAGATGGCACCAGCCATGAGGGCTGTGCAAAGTGAACTCATCCTGTGTGACCCCTCTGAGTTTTAGAATCAGCTTCCCAGGGCTGGGAAGAAGGGGTACCTTGTGGACATGAATGGCAGTGGAAAGGAAAAGTACAGCCTCTGGATGCTTGAGGCGAAAAAGATGCCTTAGGTGTCTGAAGATTCTTATGACTGCAAGCATGCACACACATGGAAGTCACATTCATCTTTGGCAACCTGCTTGCTTGAACTTGACTAGATTACAGGATGGGCCAAAACCACATGAGATTTAGGTCCAAATGTGAAGATCTATAAATATCAGCCATGGGGCTGGCATCAGCGGTTAAAAGCACTGAGTGCTCTTGCAGAGGACCTAGGTTCGATTCCCAGCACCCACATGGTGGCTAACAACTGTCCATAACTCCAGTTCCAGGGAATCTGAAGCTGTGTCTTATACAACACAGGTACACTTAACATACATTCAGGCAATACACTCAGCATAAAATAAAAATAATTAAAAAGAAATCAGATACAGGTACAGATAGGGAGATGACTGGCAGCTTCTGCTTCATGCTGTCAACACAGAACTTGTACTAGTTTTCTCTTTATGGCAATTCCTGACAACACTTAAGGAAGGGTTTACTCTTGCTCACAGTTTGAAGGTACAGTCCATTATGGCAGGGAAAGGAAAGGGCCAGCAGCATGAGGCAGCTGGTCACATTGCATCAGCAATCAGGAAACAAAACGAATGCTGGTGCTCAGCTCACGGTCTCCTTTTTATTCAGCCCAGGACTCTAGCCCGTGTGATGGTACCACCCACATTTTCAGTGGGTATCTGACACTCAAACCATCCTGGAAACCAGCTGGGCATGGTGGCACATGCCTTTAATCCCAGCACTCAGAGGCTAGCCTGGTCTACATAGTGAAACCCTACCTCAAGAAACAAGAGACTGGAGAGATGGCTCAGTGGTTAAGAGCACTGGCTGTTCTTGCAGAAGACCCAGGTTTGAATCCTAGCACCCACATGGCTGCTAACAACCATCCATAACTCCAGTTCCAGGGGATCCTATACTGTCTTCTGTTTTCCTCGGGCATCACATGACACGGCTGCACTTAATACATACATGCAGACAGAACAGTCATAAAAATAAAAAAAATAACCAAAAAAGAAAAAAAAATCCCCAAACAAAACCAAACAAGAAAACCCAACCTAGGAAAAGCCACAGACACACCCAAAGGTTAGTTTCCTAGATAATTCTAAATCCAGTGGACAGATTAATCATCACACCTCAACAACAAAAAGCTCTTAAGGCTTTTTCCCCCTTACTGCAAATTCAATGTGCCATGAGCTAACAAGCATCAAACACCCAAGTTAACAGTTAGGGTGGGTAGACAGCTAGTGTCCAGGTCCAAGTTTACACTTACATTACACTCTGGTCACCAGTGTCAAGGATCTCAGGGACAGGCTGACGCAGAACAAAAGGACTTGGGTTTGTTTTCAGACAAATGCAATTATTTTTTAATTTTTTACTTCTATGAGTGTTTTGCCTGCATGTATGTAAGGGCACCACCTGCATGCAATGGCCTCTTCTGAGGCCAGAAGAGGGTGTCAGATCCCCTGGAACTGGAGTTACAGATGGTTGTTAACCACCATGTGGGTGCTGGGAACCAAACCCTGGTCCTTTGCTAGCGCAGCCAGTGCTCTTAAATCGCTGAACCATTTCTCCAGCCCCAAATGTAATTATTTTTAAAAACTAGCGTGAGGTGCTTCAAACCTTGCCAAATCCCCACCTAAACCTGTTCCCAGCCTGGGCCAGCTGCAAAAGGGGCCAAAATGCAGCCTCCTTGTTCTGTGTCCGCGCTCCTTTGCCAACTGCCCACTGCTTCTTTAACTCCCAGGTGGGGCAGGAAGCTGCCCATCCGACCACTTGACTCCCAAATAGCGTGTGAGTTCCAAATAGGCTAGTGCCCTCTGGCCACCGGGCGGGCTGACCCACCAATACGCGCGCCCAGCCCTGCTAGTAGGCTGGGGAGGGTTGGAAATTGCCTAGCCGCGTGAAACCCGGTGTCCTGAGTTTGAATGGCCACGAATCTCACCTGAGAATACAGACGGATCCGGCTCCAACCAGACAGGCAACGTGCGCAGCGTCTGGCGCAAAAGCCTTATTTATTCCCAAGTTTCTTTTCAACCCAGGCTTCGGTCTGAAGCCCTCAGCCATTCTGCAGAAGGCGCGACTTCCAAACTCAGGCTGCGGGGTGTGGGCCGAGGGTGAAACTCCGCCCTCGGGGTCCCTGATCTTTGCTCCCGCCCCGGGCTCCACGCCTCCGGGAGAGGCACTGGAGGGCTCCGCTCCTTTTGTGTGCTTCGCTCCTAGGTGCTTGGGACCCCCGCTCCGGCAGTCCTCCGCGGGCCCTTGCCCTCCGCTCTGCGTCCTTCAGCCTCCTGCCAGTTGGGGCGATCAGATCGCTGCTTGGCTCCCCGCCGCTCCAGGAGGAGGGGCCAGGGCCGACAGCCCCCTCCGGTGCGCGGCGCCCGAGCCCAGCGCAGCCCGGACACCCGCGGCTGGGCGTCATGTGGGCCGGACTGCTCCTCCGATCCGCCTGCGTTGCGATCCTGCTGCCCGGTTCTCCGGCCCGGGGCTACACCGGGAGGAAGGCGCCTGGGCACTATGCGGCGGAGAGGTAAGAGCTCGGCGTCCCGTCCCCCGCCTCCCCCCCCCCCCCCCCCCCCGGGGCGCCGGGGGGGGGGCGCCCCCGGGGGGGGGGGGGGGGCGGCGGCGCACCGCCGGGCCCCCGGGGGCGCCCTCCGCGGGGCCGCGGGGGCGCCGGACGCAGCGGCGCACCGGGCATCCTCCTGGGCGCCGGCGCGGGCGCAGTCCTGGGGGTCGGGACAAAGGGACAGTAACTTGGGCCTCTGGACGAGTGCCAGTGGGTGGCCCTGGCTGGGGGCCGTTCCGGCTGGGATATAAGGGAATCAGAGACCCCTGTTCTGGGCGAGCCCGTGTGCGCCTTGGGGCGCGACCGCTGGCTAGGGGTCCCCTGCACGTGCCATGTGGTCTCGACTGCCTGGCTTTCTGCCTTGGCAGTTCCGGGCCTGCCCTGCTGCACTGGTCGCTTTGGGGTTCGGGGCTTATTCTGTGTTCCTTGCTCCGCGCACCCTGTGGACCTTGGAGCCACCGACAGTTCTAGGTTACGCTTTGGTTTCCGCCCATGTGTGCACGCGCGGGCTGAGCAGTGGGAGGCGTGTCTTTCCAGATCCTGTCGCCCTTCCCTAGAGTGTCCCCAGTCCTCCGCCACCGCGGGGTGGTGAGCGTGTGTGGTGTGCGTGGTGCAGCTCGAAGCGAGGGAACACGCTCAGCTGGTGGCCTGGCCAGCGGCCACATCCTCCAGGGGCGGCCCGTGGGGCAGCCCTGGAGGCTTAAGCACGTGGGTTCCGCAGCTCCCTGCTAGTTCCCGCACAAACAGAGCGGCCCAGCGCCGACTCATCCTCCTGTCACCTGTCTGCCTGCCTCCGTGGGCCCTGGGAAGTTCCTTGGGGCTCTCTGGGCACGCTGCCCCTGCCTACCCGAGGGTGGGACTCCACCAGCTTCCCCAGGCACTCTGCCTTCTGCCACTTTGGTGGCACCGCCTGTCCCTTCAGAGTCACCCTTGGCTCAATTGCATAGCTCTGTTTGAGGATCCCAGGTGCCGGGCCCTCGTCCTACCATCACTCTAACCTGTGACATTACTGTCAGCTTGGTCTGCCCCTTCTAGTTTTGACTTCTGAGAAGTGCTTTGGGCCCCAGGGACAGTCTCCACCAGACTTTTCTGTGATTATTCTCCCAGCGCATTTCGTGTTCCCTGTGTCTGGTGCAGGGACAGGCACAGAGAGGGTGCTGTGTAAGGTGTCTGGCCAGCAGAATGACATTCCCATTAGCTCTGAACTGAAATGCAGGAAAGGATATCTGGCCCCTATTGTATTGACTGGATTCCTGGCACTGTGTGATGCTTAGCTCTAATAGTCAACCAGTTGCAACAAGAATCACCTATAAAGAGTTTCAAAGAGGGATTTTCTAGATCAGTTGGCCTGAGGGCATTTTTTCTTAATCGGTTGAAATGGAAAGACCCAGCCCACTGAAGGCAATACCATTTCCTGTGTGTGTCCTGGGCTGTCTGCAGTGACAGCGAGCTGAGCACTACACATGTGTGTTTCATTTCTTTCTGCTCCACTGTGGATGTGATGCCACTAGCTGTTTGGTTTTTTTTTTAGACTTTTTGAGACAGGGTCTTCTTGTAGCCCCAGCTGGCCTGGAGCTCACTATATAGACCAGGCTGGCCTCCCTAGTGCTGCACACCTTGACTTCCCAGCTGTGATGGACCATAATCTGAAACTGAGCTAAAATAAACACGTTCTCCTCCTCTAAGCTGCCTTTTGTCAGGATACTTTATCACAGAAACAGAAATGAAACTAGCACACCCTGCATCCAGCCATGGCCAAACCAGGTCCAGCCCCTATCACTGTCCCCTCCAGCCCCTACCCCTGTCCCCTCCAGCCCCTACCCCTGTCCCCTCCAGTCC